TAACTTGATTCAGTCCATCTGCGTCGTGGTTTCGCCGGGTGTGACCGTCGCATTTTGAGAACAGCCCGGTGGGGACAACAAGTGAAAATTGAGTGAAGACCAAGGACAGAGGTATCGCTCTCAGGACATAACAGAACCACCTATCAGAGGCATTACTCCTGCCCTAACGCCTGTACTTCCATGTTAGTGATTTAGTCTTGGCGGTCGTAGTCAAATGACATTAATTTGTGACGAACAAATAGAATAGAGACACGGTGCAGACCACAAAAATGAGACAACCGGCCGGATTGAGAAGAAAACGCGGGTAGACAGGAGCGTCCCAGTGACAATTCAACCGGATGTAATAATTAAATTTACGTTATAAGCTGACCAGGTCAAATCATCTTTTATTAGTTGACGATAGCGATGGGCAGACATGCGTAATACACGTTCTACCGAACGTCACCTCGAGAGACCGGACACAGGTGTCAGTGTTCTGAAGGTCACTTCACTTATGATTGATACGGTCAGTTTGACAAAACCATGCAATGCTGTGCCGGCAGCCTATACTTAAACGCCGACCGTTTATGTTTACGTGCCGCATGCGACGACCCCAGCCGTACAGTGGTGATACTGGCGTAGCATGTAACTCACTGCAAATGGACCTTGTGTTCAGGAGGGCCCGGCATCATGGGACTGAAAGTTGGTGCAGAGAACCAAAACACAGCGGAGTAACGAAACTGCAGAACTGACCAGTTTCAGTTTTTACAACCATTAACCATGTACTTTTGTGCGCTGATTTTGATTGCTGTCTCATGACTGCTCATTCGGATAAAAAGCAGAAGGAAGACTGGGATGCTAAGAGGAGAGTCAAGGAGAGGATAAAGAACTCATATAAGTTGCAAGGATAATGAATAGATGCACGAACACCATTGTTTATGACACTCAGCCATGTCCCTTAGTGTCTTTAACCATTGATTACGATGATCTCGACATCCCCATCCAGAAAACCCTACGCAACCTGGCCAGGGTTTTCCTATTCTCATGCCAGGTCTAGGTTCGAAGTAGAATCAACTACCCGCAAACGTGAATGAAGTGGTCATACGAATCGGTCTACGATTCAGAGTGAACAACCCTACCGGAAAACCGATGCAGAAATTAACAGAAAATAAGTAGAAACAACAGCGTGGTGAACAAGCTCGTTTTCAGTTATTCGTAATCATGCCCTTACGTAACATTAAATATGATGAACAATAAGAACAATAAGAAAATAATTAATTCACCGCCGAGTGAATTTTAGCAGCATAAAAGTATTCCGTAAGCAATAAGCCGATGGGATGTTAAACATCGAAAAATATTCGCAGGAAACTGACTGAGATGAAATCTCAAAACAAAAAACGAAATTTAGCCTATTTGGGAGTGCAAACGTTAAATCCTTATGAGAGTGGTAAAGATAAATTGCACTACGTTTCCGTTAGAAATAGCACATATTTTACAATCCAGCTTATTTTGGATTGTTCTTTGGTCTTCAACTCTGCAATCAAAATTATGTAGTTACTTGAAAAAGATGAACCGTATTTCGATCCCAACGACAAATCTACGCGATCGGTATTTTTTTATTGCATACCGTTGTGTGATGAACGGCAGACGTATTAAACACCACAGTCACGAAGACCTATTCTTCACTCATAGGAACCGGCAACCTAAGCCCTAGAACTTGAAGCGATGAACTTCATAGGACAGTACTAGATTAGGTGTGGTATTAGGCCATAGAAAAAAACGGAGAAAGCTGCTTGGCAATCAGAGAGTAACCACCCATTTAGGTGTTCACCTGTCAGTTCATTACGGACAACCATGCACACACGTGCTTCGGTCTAGCTGTCTATTGTTCGACTACTCGCCCGGTCAATCAATGAAGCAAAAATTAACATTACATAAAACTGTCTCCTTTCGTGGGAGTCGGGCTAGAAAGAAACGACTGATTATCTCTGAAGAGGACAACATCTGGCCAAAAATGAATTGACCATTCATCCCCGGATGTCAGCTGGGAGGCACAGTGGTAACATCAACATCTTCCACGCGATGAGTCAAGAGTAAGACGCCCAGACAGAACAGTGAATATGTACTACTGAGTTTTACTGAGCGCAAAACACGGGCCAAATGCTTTTGGTTATCTTCAGTTGTTATTTGTGCTCCGATCAACTGAGTGTAGCACAAACGAACAAACCTAGTGAGCAGTATTCCCCGATTTTAAATTCCTCGGTCACTAGAGTCTAATAGTAGGATACTTTCCTGAGCGGATTATGGATGAAAGCCTGGTAGGAGTTGTAGCTCTATAAGATTACGCAACGAACGAAGAAAAGCAACCGACCTAGAGAGACAACTAAACCTGCGTAACGATCCTAGCAAAAAGAGATTCGTATCCTTGAGCTCTGTCTATTCAATTGCTTTTCAAACGTGATGTTGATGATGAAGCAGTCAAAGTTGCTATCACTCGAGTGTATCCCCTGCTCCAAAGTACGAGGTTCAAAATTCACCATGGTTGCAGAACTTCCCGGTTGTTTCGCTGAATGCCAAGCCTATTTCATCGGAGCCTTATGTGCTAAGCTACTTATCGTATGGATTGGCAGTTCCCAAATGAACCTTAGATTCCAGCAACCATAATTTACACTCCTTCAACTATCCATCACAAAAAATTATTCCAAATATTCATTGTAACCGACGAATTTTGGATTAGGCACCTCGTGTCCGGGTTCGAAACAGACAGGGAGAACTGACGAAACAGTTGTCCAGTGTTGCCCAGGCTTTTCCGCAGTGAGTGACAAGTTTGTGTTTCTTGGTGAAAAAACATTCACAAACAAATGCACATATGAACCAATACTTTCATATCCCACCGTCCTAAAAATGCGCTCAGTGCTTCAAACTGATTCTGCTTGATCTTACGTTGGTAATTGATCTTCCCTATGCTCGCCAGAGCAAAGTAAAACTTTTTCACACTTGGCAAACTTCCCCCACCCGAGTAATATATTTATAAGTCTATGGTATATGAAAAAGTTGCTTGCATCGTGTCGTTTCCTTCGATGATGTTGGTACGTGCAAACCGGATGTGACCGTTCCAATACGATTCAGAAGAGTTTAAAAAATTTGACGTACGAAATGCGTCTCAGCCCTTGTAAAAACAGAGTGACTACAATCATTTCTGCACTCAATCCAATCACCACAACTTTCAGCCCTAACCTTTAGTTCGGTTTGGACGATGAATCGATATTTCCTGAGATATTCCCACGAGTTTCCCTATTCCCTAAAGCGACTACCATCACGTCTCCGTGGAGACCGTGCGTCAGGATACCAAAAGCCGTTTCTTCCGTTTGAATGTGTCCCACGACAACCCCTTGATTGGCGGCTTCCACTTTGCTCAAAATTAACTGTATATTAGCCAGTTGCTTTTAAAAGCAAGTGAAAAATAAACAGATTATGAAAGTTGTTACAAAATAACCATTTAACTCTTCCTCCATTAATTCGTTGAATCTCGGAGATAGTAGCAGTCGCATTAGAACACTCAAACCGAGTACAACATCAGTGCAAAGCATGGCAAAACAAATCTAGTAGGTTAGCGCGACTGTCAACTCACTGGCTGCTCTGTAGTCACGCTGCTAGTCTATGATTATGTTCAACCAGTGAAGCGTGTCAGGGTGAAATGGATAATTAAATTACAGGGGATTTTGAGTGCAAACAATAAACGGTATCGAGAGGCAAAGATACAGTAGGAAACAAGTACAAACTAGTACAACAACAGGTTTGTGATAAACCCCTCTGCATAAACAAAAGTACAATGCACACATGTGACTGTATAGAATGAACAAAGAAGCAGGGGCTCTCGGAACAGGGTCACACCAACCAGCTGCAAATCGTGATCACAGAAGCGAAAAATAATGATAATATTTATTCTCTGCTATGGAAAGATTGGAATGGTAATCCTTTAAAGGCAATCAAGAGATGGGAAGATGAGAAACCCAGGTTATGATGGCAACATTGGAACACACGGCCCCCCTCCCCCGCGATCTCCTCCCTCACGTGATGATGGACCATACCGACTGAGCATGTAATTGAAAAAACGATTGCCATCGATCGTATCGAATACCATAGATTAAGCTGATCCCATTGTCCCCACCCAGGAAGCCTAAAGCGGCCCATGTGGACACATTAACTTATTGAAAATGTAATCAAATGCTTTGCACGATGAGCCAAGTTACTAGAGGACACAGCTTGGCTCAGTGGACGCTAAATATCAAACGGATATTCAGCAGTCATGAATGAATAGCTACTGGCTAACAGTGTCAAACGTTGGATCAATAACAGGGATAAAACTATATCACGGCTAGTTCCAGAACGCTAAACGAGATACACGAGAAAATCGCGTTCATTGGTGATGCCATGTTGAACCACATGCCGGATGGCCCGTTGAAGCATCGATGACTGNTCAAATAATAACAGAAATTATTATTCCTACAGTTCATCGTGTCTCAAGCAAACCATGGACCAGGAATCTTTATGGCAGATAAAGCAATCCATGATTTGTGCATGGATAGTTCAGTTCAGTTGTTACAACCATTAACCATGCACTTTCGTGCGCCAGTTTTGGTTGCTGTCTTTTGGTTGCCCACTATGGATAGCAGGCCACCTACACAATAGCCGGTTGATTCGAATATATTTTGATCTCAATTCACCCAGCATAATAAACGTAAGAGAATACATCGTGTTAGAAACGATCAATAGATCCCTGGAAGTATAAAGCAACCCTGTAAATTCTTGTTTCTGAATCACCTAGAACAACAGTAGAAATTAGATGTGGTATTTTAAGCATTAACACTAACTACTGCTTTATGAATCAAGCCGTGGTTCAACAAAAATAGCCGGAATAACTTCCGGAATCTTATTCGGAGAAAGGTACGTGTTCAGCAATGGAAACAGGCAACCTACCAGCCCGGGATTTAGAGCAATGGAACATAAAAGCTTCATTCGGTGGGATAGGTGCGGAGTTGAACAGAGAGACAAGGAAGCTAGTTATCGGTCAAGTGCAGTGGTAATGGCCTGATTCGGACATCAAGAACGGAGTACACCGACAACAGTTACCGGCGAAACACCAACAGTTACCAACCGGGATCATCATTAAAGTTGCTATCTGTAGAGTAAGGGTAAATCTCAA